CAACACATGCCCAAACCATTGTAGCTTTGACTTCTTAATGTGAAGGTTGCGGCGGCTCTCCCCGATTTCAGTACTCTGGACCAAATCAAGAGGTGTAAGGATAGCGACTCGTTTCGGAACGCCCATTTCAGCTGCTTGTACCTGGAGATGAACGCTTTTCAGTCATCATCCATAACTCACGACCGCAGATAACCATGGTAATAAGGAACTGCTTGAATAACGAGAGCTTAGTCTTCAAGCTCATCTCCGTACTGACAGCGAGTTAGACTATTTCGCGCAGAACACCACTGGCTACTGTAATTCGAAGGTCGATGTCTTCCTCCAATTTTCCATCTCTAGTAAATACAATTCCGAGGTACTTGAACTTCTCCACGTGCTCCACTGCCTTTCCGTTAAGCTGAACAGTGCAACGGACAAGAGAACGAGAAAGCACTACGCTTTTCGTTTTAGATGCATTCACACGCATGCCGGTCACGTCGCACTCGTCTGCGAACCTTTCTAAGGAGCACTAGAGATCAGCTTCAGAAGGCGCCAATAAAACAAGGTGTTCTGCAAACAGGAACCTTCTCGTCTTCACATCTCTTACACCGATACCCTCATCGCCTTGGCTGCTGCTGAACATTCTATTCCTGTACAACACAAACAGGAGAGGGAACAGCACGCAGCCTTTTGGAAACTTAAATTCAAAATTTGGAATTCAACTGCGTCTAAAAGCTACATTCGTCTGGACTTTTGAACAAGGAGTCCATGTTTTCCTCAAATTTTCAGTCTTTGCAAATTCACTGAGAACGCCAACGAAGCACATGCGTTAATTTTGTTGTTTCCTTGCGGTTAAGGCTGAATTTGATTCGGTACATCGTCTAGCGATTTATAAAACTTTAAACCGATACAGAATGTATCGCTGTCTTTGAGACAGTTTTTATGCAGTTAATATCTCTTGCTAAAATCGAAGCAAGGTGGTCTGAGTGTTTTCCTATTACCTGTGGATATTACCAATCAAACTTGCTTTCGCATCTCCCATTCAATTTTTTCCCAACTTTCCTTTCCAAATGAGCTGACGTTGGCAAAGCCGAAAGCCTTGTTCCATAAGGATGGTTTAGTGCGAGATATCTGGCTAGAATATACTACTGATCTGGAGCATGCAGTTGATGATATGTTGGAAAACTTGATGAGGAGTCAATGGCGCAGACTTCTTTAGGTGGCAGTCTCCTCACACCAAACGGTTGCGAAAGGCCTGGGAGTCCAAAGTTTTGAGGAACCAATCAGACACGTCTAACTTAACACTGTAAGAAAGAAGAGAAGCAATAGGTAAGACGACCACTCGAAATGTCACGGGCCTAACATCTTTACCGTCCAGTCAGAGTTAAATATAAGGAACGCCTTCACATCCAGTGCCTATGGCAATCTTTCCTATTTTTTAACTTCAAAAAGCGCCAATAAAAGACCGCAGACGACGGTTGAATGGCATACAGTGACAGCGCACGATGAAGGTTGAGCAGCAGGATCAGGTATGAAATTGACTTTACTATTTTCTTGACACAGGTGATCTCAGCAGATATGGAGATTAAAACAAGGAAATTGGAACATTTGAATTTGTAACCTCAGTCGTTGGGCTTCTTTTATGGGAGGTGAAACACATAAGACATCGACCAAAAGGGTAGCATGAAAGGTGAACGGACAAAATAAAGCAGGGCCTCTTTCGGAGTAAAATATTTCCTTATATCACGCAGTTACCTGCCCTTCATAGTAAAAGTGTTTTCGAAGCCTGATAATAGGACGGATGTCAGAAAACAGGAACGTTCTGCTGTGTATAAACACTCAATGTGACGAACGCAGCAAAACTCAGACAGACACACACCTACGACAGTTAATTTCTATTGCACAGGAGCGACTGCACCAAGTAAACGGAAGATTAATGGTGTGACGAAGCAGTTTCAAAAGACTGAGGATGTTTTACCTGGGAAGCTGTTATCAGATCTGAAGCAGAACTTCATTTGTAACTGTTTGCCCTCATTTTTAACTGATCGATGCGAAACTTGCACTTTCAGCACTAAAGCTATTCAGATTCCGAAAAATTGGCAACACCACATAGAAAAGTATGCGCCGGGTAACATGAGGAAATAAGAACTGGAACAAATAGATCAGAACACAAACAGGAGGTCTGTGAGATCAGCGTAAGAACGAAAATGGGGTAAGTTTAAAAGGCCATCATTTATCTGGAATCATATTTGAATAGGTTAAAAATCAGCAGGTGAACATAGTAACACAGAGGATCAAAAGCAATGGCCAGATTAGATCAGAAAGGATATGCAGTTTAAAGGCCTCTAAGTAACCCATGACTCATCCAAAACCAAATTTCACACCGTATGGGCAGCAGAGATGCGTCAATTCAGTGGATATAAAAATCCACGTAAACAACAAACTGACAACCACGATGCCCTAAGCCAAATCATCCTTCGTTTTGAATCTGACTCGACAGAGACATTTCCTAATTGCCACAATTCCAGGCCACCCAACAACCTTCGACGAATTTGAAATGAGGAGTATCCTCGAGTTCCTCATATCATACAACGTTCCGGAAACTGACGCGTCATGACCAAAGTGTTAGTGATGTGTAGAACCGAGCTGACTGGCGTGTTGTGCAGTTTTTTCAATAAATGCTTGGGGTCTGAAGTTATTCCGGATTGTTGGCGGACATTCAAAATTACTCTTTTTCCAAAGACGGCTCTTGCGACCGAACCGGATGTAGTTCGCCCAATCAACTTGATCTCTATAATGCCTGTAGCACTGGACGCCCTCGTTCGACCGGTGCTCCTCAAACAACTTCATCGAACCAAAAGATAGCTGGCAATTCATTTTAACGCGGGAATTTCTACGTCACTGTGGCAGCACCATTCTGAAGGCCTTCTTCTTAGGTCTCTCAGCGGCTTTAAACTTCGTGCCAAATGAAAGCCTACTCTACTGTCTGCAAAAGAAACAGGCTAAGAGAACAACCTGCTCCGTTGGCTTCCAGATTATGTTTCTGATCGGCATCAGTTCGTCGAAGTTGGAAGGCGCTGCTCATCGACGAAGTAGATGAGTACAGCTTCAGGGTTCTACGAGGTTCAGGGCAGTCGTCCATGCTACATTCCTTTTATGTTAGCTCATGACGCACCACAAGTCCTGTCTCGTGTATGAAATAAGCTGACGACAAAGTGATTATTTCCTCAAGGAGCAGCACCAGTACAGCATGCATATGTGGTGAAAGTCACTGAGTTACGGATATGCAACAACGGCTTATGAATTAACAGTCAGAAAAGCGCCCATCAGATTTTCCGGATAAAGAGACCAGATCATAAAATATATTCTCCATCATTTATCATCGCATTAACTTAGAAGGAGAATTAACACCAGCCTGTGACACCACATAATACCTTGGGATCATACCAAGGAGCAGACTTGACCGTTCTGACCACATGGTTTAAGCGTTCCCAAAGATTCATGGGGCATTTTACTAGCTATTCAGGCTAGTCAGATTACTGGTACCCCCGCTCATCGTTTTCAGATGCATCGTTTCCTTGATCACTTATCGCAGCTGAATGATGTACTAAGGCTTAATGAAGAAGGACTTCAGGATACTGGGTTGAGCCGTAATATTAATATCAAGGATTAGCCGAATCTCCGCAGAAGAAACTGCTGGTCGCATTGCGAAAACAACTGTTGCAGCTGCCTGTAGCCCAGGTCATACATGTTGGCTAATGACAGTCGCCGGTTGCACATGAAGTTTCACCGCGTGCACTGTCACCGAAGCTGGCTCAATTTTTTGCCAGCGATCTGTTCTACATTTCCTGTCAATGTCGTAGAGAGAGTTAGAGCTGCACAACAGCTTGAACATGACATTCTGACTTGCCACCACCTTTCTGTGTATGTACATTTGATGGGCATGTATACTCCTAGAGTACCGGAAGCCCTTATGCCGATAGGAACAACCGTAAACATGAATTTACCTGTATTGCACTGAGCTGTTCTACTTAACTGCCGGTTATAAATCTGTCATACACCAGCAGCTGAAGTGTCAA